TTCTATGCAATAATTTAATAATTTTATTAAAATTTTTGTATATGTCTATGAAATAATTAAGAAATGAACATGATTGGTCAGGGACAAAAAGAAAGTTCTGCCAACCTGTATAGACACAACCTTAGAATCACTACTTACTTCATAATTTACCATATGTCATCACACTAAAATAAGAGAACATTGTATCTTGTTTTCTAAATGGCCACTATCTCTCAAAATTACCTTCTTTGGAACTTTCCCCTTTCTGAATGGGCACTGATAATTATTTTACTTTGACTTTGTTAAGACTGGCGTGTTTCAGTTTGGGGATGCTCACCCCAAGTAAGTCATTATTTCCACTGCATGCTCCAAATTGTATTTATTAATTTACCTGACATATGGTTAATGAATGTATGCGACCTGCTTGAAATAGTTCTGTGCACTGAACTGTATACTGAAGATACAGCAGCAAATAAGTCGCATAACTTTTCTTCCCTGGTAGAGCTTTTATTCTTGTGAGGAGACAGGAAACATGCAATAAATGGTGTAGATTATTGGTGGATTGGTAGATAGATGGAGATGAATGAGATTAGATATTAGATTGGATAGGTAGATTCAGACAGACCAGCAGACAGGTCTTTGTGTGTTACACAGAAGAGTCAAGTATGTTGGAAGTAGCTGGGTAATTAGGCAGTGAACAGTAAGAGAATGGGCAGTGAAATATGTCTGAATCAAAATGGATCACAGACATAAATGTAAAATGCAAAACTATAAAATTCCTAGAAGAAAACATAGGAGCAAATCTAGATGACCTTAGGTTTGGTGATGACTTTTTAGATAAGACACCAAAGGTACAATGCATAAAATAAAGAATTAATAAGCTAGACTTCAAGAAAATACATTTTTAAAAATTGCTATGCGAAAGACAGAGAATAAAAAGACAAGCCACAAATTGGGAGAAAATATTTACAAAAGATACATCTGATAAAGGACTGTTATCCTAAATATACAAAAAACTCCTAAAACTCAAGGATAAGTAAACAAACAATGTGATTTTAAAATGAGCCATGGGCTGGCCGAGTGGCTCAGTTGGTTAAGAGCGCGAGCTCTGAGCAACAGGGTCTCTGGTTCTATTCTCACATGGGTCAGTGAGCTGTGCCCAAGCTCCCAACAGGTGTCAGGATGACTTAGCTGGTGAGATCATGTGCTCCTAACAACAAGGCTTCCAGTTTGACTCCCGCATGGGATGGTGGCTACGCTCACCTGCAACTAAGATTGAACATGGAACCTTGAGCTGAGGGGCCGCAAGCTGCTGACAGGCAGCCAGATGGCAACTGGACTTGGAGCTGAGCTAGCTGCACCCTCCACAACTAAGATTGAAGGACAACAAGTTGGCTGTTCCCCTTCTCCCAATTCCCCAATAGAATCTTTTTAAAAAAATGAAAAGAAAAATGAGCCAAAGATATTGCAGAAGATTCACCAAAGAAGATACACAGATGGCAAATAAGCACATGAAAAGATGCTCCACATGTTATGTCATCAAGGAAATGTAAATCAAAACAACAATGAGATGCCATTGCACTCCTATTGGAATGGCCAATATCCAAAACACCCAATGCTTGGGAAGGTCTAGAGCAACAAGTACTCATTGCTCGTGGAAACGAAGAATGATACAGCCACTATAAAAGACCTTTTGGAGGGTTTTTTTTCCATATGATGTATGTGTATGTATGTATGTGTGTGTGTATATATATTTTTGACATATAAAAAGCTGTCCATATTTAATATATATAATTGATGCTTGATGATTTTGGAGATGAGTATACACCTGTGAAACCATCTGTCCATTCTGTGACATAAACATACCCATAACCATCATAGCTTTCCTTCCACCTCTATATATTATTGTAATTTTTTTGTATGATAAGAAAACTATGGAGACATTAAAAAGATCAGTGTTGTCAGGGGTAATGGGAAAAAGTGGAGTGAATAAGCAGAGCTCAGAGGATTTTTAGGATTGTTACACTACTCTGTAAGATACTGTAATGGTGGATATATGTCATCATGCATTAAAAAAACAAACAAACATAAGAAGTACACTACCAAGAGTGAATCCTAATGTCAACTATGGGCTTTGGGTAAAAACGATATCTCAATGTACATTCATCAGTTGTAACAAATGCACTGCTCTGATGGGGGTGTTGATGATGGGGGAAGCTATGCACATGTGGGGGCAGGGAGTATTACAGGGAATCTCTGTACTTTCTGATCAATTTTCTGTGACCCTAAAACTGCTCTAAAAATAAAACATATTTTAAGCTGCCTGAAAAGATAAAAATTGAGTTGAGAATATTTCAGCAATATGAAGGAATTTTGTTATAGGCAGAGGAAACAAATGTAAAGCCTCCAAGCCATAACGATCTGTACCGTTAAAAAACGAAATCCAGTGTGACAAAAGCATGGTAGATAATTTTGGTACCTCATGAAGACAGAGCAGCCAAATCTTTACAGCCTCTATCTAGCCAAAGCAAAAGAAACCTGTATGCTAACTGTGACATCAACACACTAGAAGGTTTAGAGTAATGGGGGAACATGATGATTTCTGTTCTAAGAATGGGATGTCAGGTCGTACTGAAAGATGAAGTAGGGAATTCACCTGTATTTAGGGTGCTTTTGGGGTTTCCAAGTGAGATATAACGGCTGATTGGACTTCTAGTGTAGAATGGTAGAAATGGAGTAAAGTAGAACAATTCACATATTTTGGAGGTTATCAAGCGAGACTTACTAAAAGATAAGCAGCATGAAGAAAAAAGCATAATTGTGAATGACCCACCAGTTTTGGATTGTATGGCAGGTTAGATGTTTGTTTCATTTACTGAGCTGGTGAAAACTTAGGGAAAACCAGGTATGGGTGGAGGGTTATCTTCTCTTTGGAATATGTTAAGTTTTAGATGCCTGGAAAACAGTCAAGCACATGCTTTAATTTAATATTTGGATATATGAATTTGGAGCAGAGTGGATAAGTCAGTAGTGGCTTTAAAGTGTAGGGTTCAACAGCATAAGAATGGTATACAAAGCCATGGAGATGGATGGAATAACTTAGAGAAAATATATGCAGAGAAAAGAGAAGAGGGCCTAGGATAAAAAGACACTGCTGTTGGAATTGGCTATGTGGAAATTCATCGTAACGTGTGCATTTCAGTAGAAAGGTAAAGGCAGAATCTCAGTTGTTCTTTCACTAGGCATTAAAGTTGAATCCCAAACATGACTTTTGAATACCATGTTAGAGAAGAGGAAAAGGAGATTTAAAATAATGATTCTCTAAATCCACAGAGAGATGCTAACTTTTCCAGAAAAGTTTGAAAATCTGAACACAGAATTGTATTATAAGCAGATGGAGAATGAGGAGTTTTCTGGAATGGGGAGAGGAGAACAGAGGAGCAGGATTCGACTCCCTTTGTCGTTACAACTGATTCAGATCAGCAAAGTAGGGCCTCCTAGAAAACCCTGAGTTATGTAGCCGTTGAGAAATTTACATCGGGGGACAGACGCCAATGTTTAAAGAGCAGGCAAAGCAGTTATACCTCAGTGTTCATAGAAAGCTAGCTAGCTAGCTCTTTGAAAGCTTGCAGAATAGGACTCCCTTTGATATCAAACTTATCACTTAGAAAAAAAAATCACTTAGCAAATTCTTCAACAATGTTGTGTTTGTCTGAGAGAGAATATTCTAAATCAGAAGAGATTTAATTGCCACTAATTAATTGGGAAGTCCAAGGGTTGCATTTTGCTTTTCATTGCTTTTTTTTTTCTTCACGTTAATAGGACTTATAGGTCACAGGAGAGTTTATTATAGTTATAAAGATATATAGTTAATTTTTTTCACATCTAAATAATATGTAGATATTTTCACTGTTAGACTCTGAATTCTGCTTAATTTGATTTTCTATATGTATTTAGCAATTTTGCAGGAATCTCTTTTAATATGTTTCATTGAAATTTATTCACAATGGTAATTTGGACAATTTTGATTTCCATCCTTCTTTAAATGGAGAGAAACTGGCCACTATTATCTATTTAAAATATAAAAAAAAATCTCTTAATAAGTAATTGTTAAAAGTTATCATATACCATAAACCAGTCTCTTCTCATGAAAAATCAGCCTACTTCCCTTAAGCTGTATCACTGACACTTTTTATATCTTTATTTATGTGTTGTCACCAAATGCTTCAAATATTTCTCATAATGAGAAAGCCTAAACTTGGTAAAATTCTAGTAAAAACCATATCAGCAGATTACAGAGATTTTATAAGAGTGGTTAAGTGTCAGTTCAAACCTTTAAATTGTTTCAATTGTTTAATCCAATTCGGCTTAAAATAAAACAAAACTAACTTACCAAATGTGTTTATCTTGGCTTGGAAGTGGAACATTCAACATCCAATCATCCTGACTGTGGCTATTTACATTTCAGAGATGGTGATGTAGGAAGTAATACTATTTTTTTCTTTTTCTTTTTTAAGGAATGCTACCTTTAATTTGTGTTTGTATTTATTTGAAAGTAGTCTTACTTAAATTTGTTTGGCCCTTCTTTTGACCCCTATGGTTCTTCATTTAAATCTGTGAATACAGCTTCAGATTGTTTGAATCAATGGATTCAATATCGCTTCCTTGAATTGTTTCAAAGCCTTCATCATTTTTTTTTCTTTTTCATATGCACAGATTCAGCATCATTAACGTCTATATCCTCAGTTGTATATTCTTTGAATCTTTCTAGGGCTCTTTCATTTAATCCTTCGTATCCCCAAATTTAGCGTAAGTATTCTCCAAGTCCTTCAATGAATCATCTCTTAATTTTTCTTAACATCTCTCTTATATTGTTATGTTTTTCTGAGTCATTCTTTTATCGTTCTTTGTCCCATTTTTTAAAGTATTTGATTCTTTGAACCCCCGTTTTTACTCATAGATTCAGTTTGAAACTACTAAAATTGTTTCACCAAATAAGCTTTTGAATTATAACCCAAGGCCTACTTGTCCTTTGCATCTTTCTTTGAATCCTTCTTTGCCTCTTTCTTTGAATCCTTCTTTGCCTCTTTCTTTGAATCCTTCTTTGCCTCTTTCTTTGAATCCTTCTTTGCATCTTTCTTTGAATCCTTTGAATCAACAAGTTCTATATCATTGTCTTTCTTGTCATCTTTCTTGTCCTTTGATTCATCACCTTTTTCACTGGGTTTCTTTGTATCTTTTTTCCCATCCTTATCCTTTTTTGCATCTGTTTTTTCATTTTCAGATTCTGTAGTTGACTCCTTGCCCTTCTTTGAACTTTTCTTATCTTTTTTAAAATCTTTCTTTGTGTCTCCTTTCTCAGCTTCCAGTTCTGTAGTTGACTCCTTGCCCTTCTGTGAATCTTTCTTATCTTTTTTTGAATCTTTTTTTGTGTCTCCTTTTTCAGCATCTGATTCTGTAGTTGACTCCTTGCCCTTCTTTGAACTTTTCTTATCTTTTTTAAAATATTTCTTTTTGTCTCCTTTCTCAGCTTCCAGTTCTGTAGTTGACTCCTTGTCCTTCTGTGAACCTTTCTTATCTTTTTTTGAATCTTTCTTGGTGTCTCCTTTTTCAGTTTCTAATTCTGTAGGTGACTCCTTGTCCTTCTTTGAACTTATCTTATCTTTTTTGGCATCTGGTTTTGTAGTGTCTTTTTCACCTTTAATTTCTGTTTCTGAGCCCTTGTCTTTCTTTGAATCTTTTGGTTTTTTTGATTCCTCTGAAACTGTGGATGCAGGCACTGTATCTGATTTGTCCTTCTTGTCTGCTTTCTTGTCTGCTTTCTTGTCTTTTGTATCTGTCTCACCTATTGCTGGAGATAAAGGTTTCTCTACACCTGCTACTTCAGCATCTTCCTGGGCGCGTTTGATTGGTTTATATGGAGGCTGTCTCCTGGCAGCCAAATAAACAGATGGTCTTTCAGAAATTCTCATTAAAGAACGGTGCATCCATAAGGGTTGTTTAGAATCTCCCTTTAATTTGTTTTCATCGTATATCTGAAAAATTGTGAAAATAATGATAAATAAATTTTGTGAGTTACACAGCCTTTATTACCAGATACCAAACACATTTTAACTTAAACCATGAAAAGATTTTAAATTTTAATAAATAGTGTGTAAATTGTAGATTTCATAGTTTACTCTGCTTTTTCAATTTCAATTTTTCAAGCTAATGGATAGCCATATCTCATTTTGAGTCTAATTTCAACTTAGAGTATCTTCATAATTCCCTCAAGATTTTATGTGAAAATTGGTTCAGACCTTCATTTACCAATGACATATCAGAACCTCTCTTCATAATCAAGAGAAGGCTTGTTTTTTCTTTGACTTTGTATTTTTGAGATTCTTGGAATATCTTGCCCAGCCTCCATTTCTAGGCTAACTCGGAAACTAATTATTTTCTAATATCTAGTAGTTTTGCTTTCAGGAAGATCCTGGTCTCTATTGTTACATTCAAAGTCTCTGGAATTTACAGTGCTTACTAGCTAAAAGTAAAAGCCTGAAACTCCTCCTGCTTTGTGAGCTATAAATTGCGTGTCGTTACATAGGAAACTTCAAGAATGAAAGCAGTAACATTCAATACAAATTGATTTCTATAGAATGGTACATTTTGTTTTCAATTTGTAACTAAATATTTTCAAAAGCTTAATTGCAAAAGCAGCAAATTTTGGAAGGAATGTTGACAAACAATAGAAAAATAAATTTAATAAAGAAAGAAATAAGAAAAAAAAACACATGAGAAAACAGAAGTAACCTGGATCATTAAAGACTGGATATATTCCCTAAAATAAGCAAGAGTTGATGTTTTCATCTTGTGAAAAGTTTTCTTGGAACATTTTCATATCCCATGATGACTCCAGACACATTGGGAAGTATTTATCTTCCAATATTCAGAATCCTGAATTTTATATTGCAGGAAATGAGAAATGAGGAAGCATTGAGACTTGATCAGAGCATAATGTAACTCCAGGATTCTAATGAGGGGGTTTCTCTAGCTGGGAAACATTTTTTGAATGTTCGTACCAACTGTAGCATTAGGGTCCCCAGATTTCTGTGCTTTTGGGTACATATTTTCCATATTGTGGGGTTACTGAACAAATAGTTAATTTGAAATAAGGGGGTGGGGGCTTACACAGTGGAATGCAAATAAAATATATCTACTTTCTCTAGGTAGTAGAATTTGAATTACCTTTAACTGTGCTGTTTAACATAGTATTTAAAAGACACATGCAAATTAAACTGAACAGAATTGAAATGTAAAATTCAATTCCTCAGTTACACTAGCCTCATTTCAAATGTTCAGTAGCCACATTTGGATGCAAAGATGTTAAATATTTCCATCATCACAGAAATCTCATTGGTCAGTTGTAATCTTACACATAATTTCACAAGTTTATTATTAGTAAAATTATATGATCTTTTCAATACTCACATTATCTTGTAGTTGGGAAGGTCTTGATCTTATTTTTTTTCCTGGCCGCTGTGGTTTGGGAAATACCAGGGCAAAGTGTTGCTGATTCCATGATTTTTTGCTTAATTCACTGACTAAAATAAGAAAACATTAAACATAGACTTTAGAATAAGTAGAATTTCATCAGAATCTCCATGGCAATAAGGTATTTGAATAAACAAATGATTCAAATTATGTATTTCTTTATTTGGTAATGTTTGAAACTCTCTGCTATTATGAGAAAATAAAAATTGATTATTCTATTTTACCAGTTTTGCAGAAAACTATATAAAGTAGTGATTGTGAAAGTAATATAGTCTGTAATATAAATGGAAAGAAACCATTTTACTGCTTCTTTTTATTCTTTCTATCTAATCCAGTCTAGAGTTTTGCTTTATACTCTTTTGGTTAGAATACAATTCTATTAAGAACAGAAAATATGGTAACTACTTCTATAGCCCCCAAAGTAATTAGTGCAATGCCTGTTATAAAATATTTAGTAAATATATGATTGAATATAAATGTGAATGCTTTCGATCTCTTTAGTTAGTAATCATTTTCCAAGATACAAGAGTGTTATACACTCAAGAACTGAATTGTTATGGGTGGCATATTAATAAAGAAAACTGACAAAAAGTACCTACAGAATTGTGACTGGGACTATAAAGTTACCTGAAAACTAAAATAGAATTGGTTCAAGACATTTAAGTTACCAATGAAACAAGTAAGAGAGATATCCTCACTATTTTTGAGTATGTGCAGTAACACTGTGTGTAAGAGAAAACAGACTTCAACATCAGATTGACTGGCTTTGTCAAGAATGAATTTTTAGCTAATTATAAGGTTCATATAATCTATCAGGAATATAGTAGAGGACATTTATGACATGGGTGAGAAATTGTTTATCCAGTTTTCTGCACTGGCTTTCAACTGTGAGATTATCTGATTAACTGATTTCTAACATGTAAATATATGTCCACCTTTATGTTGCTGTATATACTTGCTTAATCTTCTTTGGATTTACAAACAAAATATCTGTAGAAGATGTTCACTGAGCCCACAAAACAGGTCCCTTGGAAAATGAAAAGTTGGTTTTTAATAATATTCAATGACAGCTACTTCTTTGAAAGGAGGATAACCACTTATCCCTAAAAATTAATCATACATGTTAAAATATATATATATATTTTTTTGTTACTTACTTATATATGCAAATATATATATATATTTGTTAATTACTTACCTGGAATATAATTGTCATATGTCCCAAAGTTTATTTTTTGGCTATTAAAATAAGATGAAAAGGTTTTAATTAATTTTTATAAAAATTACTCTGTTTAATAATCATTGTTATGCATAAGCACTTTGCATCACCAACTAGAGAAATATTTTGCATTGTCAGATCTCCAATATTATGTAAGACTGCTGGTCCCAGGAAAATAGAGAAAAGCGAATGTGTGTTTTTAGAACAAACTTCAACAGAACTAAAACAAGGGATAAAGCATAAGAAAAAACTTCACCAAATTGCTATTATCTAAATAATAAGACTCTTTATATTGTGAAACCATGATTGAATTCAATTTCTCCATCTCATGCTCCAAATTTTTTTCAATTGAATTTTAACTAAGATAGCACTTTGAAAACACTATACTTAAGTAAAATAAAATCCTCAAAATATTTTCAGACCTTAAATCCAAATCATCAATGGCATATGTGTGTGTGTCTATGAATGCATGTGGGTGTATGTGTGTCAGTGTGCACCACAGTATTGACCTGAATTTTTTTTGTTCTCTAAGAAATATGAGAAATAAAATTATATTGCAAAGCATTTCCCATTTATAAGTTTCCATTTGTTGTAGTACTACATGAACGTGTTTGTTGCAACAAAGGGGGGTTTTATAATCTATTTTTTATATATTTGTAATGGAGGCAAATATTAAGATTTATTAAAGAAACATTATTCTACATCTTCCCATTATATTACAAAATTAGAGTCATTGTTGATCATGAGTGAGCTTGTGCCTTACACAAACACACCCACACAAAAACACTCATGCTTACCCAGTGCTTTACTTATTTTGACATTACATAAATATTAATAATAAACTACATTTTAAAAAGTATCTTGATAACTATATTAAATTTCTAGTCCCTAGCGCAAAACATGACACATTTGAAAATTTGTGATTCTTTAAAATTTTTGAATAAAATAATTGAATAAAATTTAGGATATGTTGCCTAATAAATTATCTGGTTGGTGTTTTCCTATCTGAGGACATGCATTAAAATTACTTGCCCCACTGTATCTGAATCTCTAGGTTTGGACATAGCTTATGTACATTTATACACTGCTGAAGACATTTTGATGTTCAAGTATGGTTATGAACTTTTCTGTTTTAATTTCTCTGAAAGAGGCAATATTTCAGGTCCATGCAACATTATTAAATTTGAAATTTAAAAAATAATACATAGGCATGGTCCATTAATTTCTTGAATAATTTCTAGGGCACATTCTCTGATCACCAAGCAATTGAATTAGAAATCAATAAAAACATACAGAGAAAATACACAGAAGTTGGATAGTGAGGAAGGCTCATAGTAGAAAAATTGATTCATTTGAAATATGGAGTTGGAGGAGAGCTGTATGGATACACTGGCCTGCCCACCCCCCACACAAACATTTATTAGCAAAGGTTTATTACCATTGAACCACGCCCTCTAAAGGTCAGTAGCACATTTCAGTGACAGTGACTTAAAAAAAAAAGTTTCTACTATAAATTTCCAAATGACCCCAAAGGAGGCAATAGTTACCTGAGTGAGAACCATGAATGATTTTATTATTTATATTACAAAATACAATACATAATAAATGAAATAAGAATCACATTGAAAAAGACTTATCTAAAGCCAAGTCTATATTTTAGTCAAGTGAATGAACTAGTTAAGTATTGGATCAAAACAACGTATAAAGCTGCTTGAGGATGTGTTTGATAAACACATAGTCTCTTGATTACCAATGGCATGATAATGTTACAGCAAACATCTCTTTACATTAAAGAGAATAAATGTAAAGCTAAGTAGAGCATTTCAGCAATTTTAAAACAAAATTTGACAAGAGGACTTACAATCTTGGTAAAGACATTTTTCCCACCTATGATTTGCCAGGACTTATGCACTGTAAATTCACATTAGTGCTGTTGACTGGTGACATCATAAACAGGCCAAGAGCTCTAGTGGTTAAAGGGGCAAAACAATAGGATCCACTTTTACTTGTGGTTTCATTGTTTCTACTATTCAGTCTAAGATTGGTATTTACTCTCACTCATTACCTACTGACTAAATACAACCGGTAGTTTTAAAGTAGCCCATTGATTTTACATCTTAAAAAGAAAATACTTGTTTCAACTTTTCATGTAGTTTTCTTTTGTTGACTAATACGAAAAGGATGAATCTCAGCATTTATCTGTTAAAATGAGTTGTAATCCTAACTTCCCTAACATTTATGGGTCTTGTTAAATTATTTGCGTAACTTTACATCGCCTTTTCCCATCTTAACCTTATGGGTTGCTCATAAATACAAGGTTTTAAAGAAGGCTAGATGCTTATTAAAATCATCAACTTACTCATAAATCTGAGTTAGATAAGTATTCCATGCACCACTCCACCCCGTTAATAGATGAAAACAGATATTAAATAGAGTAGTATTTGAACATGTTGCCATTATCTAGCTCCTTTTAGGGAATTTTGATTTTTTCCCCCCTTAAGGAATAGGATTATTAAACTTCAACCACTGTTAGAGGTAAACTATAAAAACCTCTGTGTTTTTTCTCAATGACAATTTTTCTCTCATGTCTCAGACCACGGTAAATTCTAGAGGGCTTGGTAGGGGCACTTCTCTAAGGTGATTTAGGAATCGGCTTTCCCTAAACTAATTGCATCACTATCCACTAACTTAACACTATCAATGCTGATGTTTTTCTGCAAAGTGGTGATATAATAAACAAAGTCTGATTTCTAAAGCCACAATATTTTGTATAGGATTTTATAGTATATACCTTGTTTATGAAAGTACTTATACCCAATGCATTTCTTCTATCAGCATGTAGTAAGATCCAAATCACAAATGGGCAGCCAACAATGCTTGTCTTCTGCACCATGACCTCTTGAATTAATCTCTTATTGTCATTCTTAACTAAATATGTATAATCTGTTAAGATCTTACAGAGCTAATGATCTTTTGTTATAGTAAGCCAGTGCTATTTTTGTATATTGCTATATAGCAAATGACCATAAACTTATCGTGGTATAAAACAAAACACATTTAAAGTCTTATAAATCTGTAGCTCAGATCTCAGGTAACTTCCGTTGGATCCTCTGCTCAGTGTCTTACAGATTGAACTGAATTTCATTACTTTACTGAATTCTTATCCAAAGGCTCTAAGGAAGAATCAGTTTCCATTTGCTATTCCACTTGGCAAAATTTCAGTTCCTTGTGGCCATAGTTTGAACGTCTGTTTTCATGTTTGCTGTCAGCATCAATATGAGATGCTTTCTGCTCCTAGAAGATGCCCATGAGAAGTCACACGACCCCTTCCATCTTAAGCAATGTTTCATTAAGTCCTTCTCATCTTTTAAATTTCTATTCGTTTTCTGTCTTCCTCTACTGCTATCATCTAAGGAAAACTTTGTCTACAAAAGGCTCAAGTGATCAGATTTAGTCCATTCAGATAATCTCTTCATTTTAAGATCACCTGTATCTCTCAATGGAAATTATATCTTTTCATATTCACAAATCCCACCTACAATTCAAAAGAAAGGGTCCTTGGAGGTCATTCTTAGAACCCTGCCTACCTACAAAGCCAAAATGAGAAGTTTGCTTTAGCATTTGAGGCTAATTAGAAATACATTAGCCTCATATATATTATTTTTATGACCTAGTATTATGATCAGTGTCTATCCAGCAACAACACTGGCATCACACACAAGCATTTTTGTTGGTTTTTGAAAAGACCATTGAGCTTAGTAACCATGTCCTCAAATATGAATATTATACTTGTGTGTGTGTACACACACACACACACACACACACACACAAAATAAAAAATATTTTAAAATATGCTTTAAGCATTTTACAGGTTATAAAATTATTTGTATACATTAACTCATTTATTTATTTATTATACTAACATAGTAAAAAAGTAAAGATAGTTGGTCCTTGATAATCAGTTATTTCCTAAGACTTCGTAATGTGTATGTTATCAATTTTAAACTATGGTACATATTTTCTTCCATACAATCTCCATATAACTAAAATAGATTCTTTAAGCTAGTGATGGTTTCAGTGATTCCCATATTTATGTATGTAAGCCTGTACATAGGTGTGTGTGTATGTGTATATATATATATATATATATATATATATGTTACATATCTATCAACATATCTATCCATATTTCATTCCCATATTTATGTATGTAAGCCTGTACATAGGTGTGTGTGTATGTGTATATATATATATATATATATATATATGATTTACATATCTATCAACATATCTATCCATATTTCATCAGTTTATTTATTTTACTTTCTGTTACATAAACGATTTAAGAAACTAAGAGAGGTTATATAAATGTAAAAATAAAATTATTAATACATTGTTATATATTTTGTAAAGCATTGATATTCTGTCAGTACTGTAAAAATTAACCATGAAATTGTGCAAATATCTGAAGTTTTTGCTTTTTAATTTTAAATGTAAATAAAATCATGAGTGATCAGCGTGATAAATTACTGTGAAATGAACAAACCTTTTAACAACTCTCTGAGTTGCAAATAGATCATTACTGATAACCTATGATCTATTCAATGTACTGTCTTTTATTCTCTACCCATAGTTGAGCATTCTTCAGTCTTGTAGCAGTATTAATTTTGTCTATTTTTGAAACCTATTCAGGAATAGTATCATATAATAACATTTCTTATATATGGCTCTTTCAATATAGATTTTTGATATTCATTTATAGTTGTATAAATGATATTCATTTATATTTGCAGTTTGTTCATACATAATTTCTATAAATAAAAAATGTATATGGTATTGTAAGCATTATATGTATATACCATAGTTTACTTATATTTTCTACAATTGATGAGCATTTATTTTACCTCATTTGTGTGTGTGTGTGTGTGTGTGTTTCAGGTATACAAAACAATGTAATAGTTATACATTTACACCCCTCACAAAGTGATAACCACCCGCAATCTACTACCCCTCTGACATCATATATATGTTACAATTCCATTGACTATATTACCTATGTTGCACCCCACATCCCGTGAATATATATAGACAATTAAGTTTGCAAACTCATCCTGAATGCCCTGTAAGTGTCATCAAAATGTTCTCATTTCAGTATTTCCTTTATCTTCGGGTAAAGAACGAATTCACTGCGGGCCAGATCAGTTGAGTAAGGAGGGTGTTCCAATACAGTTATTTGTTTACTGGCTAAAAACTCCCTCACAGACAGTGCTGTGTGAGCTGACGCGTTGTCGTGATGCATGAGCCATGAATTGTTGACAAAAAATTCAAGTCATCTAACGTTTTCACGCAGCCTTTGCAGCACTTCCAAATAGTAAACTTAGTTAACTGTCCAGTTGGTAAAAATCCATAATGAATAATCCCTCTGATATCAAAAAAGGTTAGCAACATCATTGCGACAAGTTTGTGAACTTAATTGTTTGACCTTGTGTGTGTGTGTGTGTGTGTGTGTGTGTGTGTGTGTGTGTGTGTGTGAGAGAGAGAGAGAGAGAGAGGGAGAGAGAGAGAGACAGAGAGAGACATTCCATATTATTCAACTTCACCTTCAGGTGTATAGCGCAGTGGTCAGGCATCTACATAGTCTATGAAGTGTTCTCCCTAGTAAACCCACTGCCCATCTGACACTCTATATAATCTTTACATTACTGACTATATCTCTCAAACTGTATTTCATATATCTGTAGCTATATTGTGACTACCAATTTGTACTTTCTAATCCTTTTACCTTCTCCCCAATCCCAAACCTCCTCCCATCTGGCAACCACTAGTATTTTCTCCCCCTATATCTCTAGTCTATTTCTGCTTTGTTTGTTCATTTATTCTGTTCTTCAGATTCCACATATAAGTGAGATCATATGGTATTTGTCGTTCTCCATCTGACTTATTTCACTTAGCATAATATTCTCCATCTATGTCATTGCATATGGTAAGGTTTCATTCTTATTTATGGCTGAGTGATACTCCATTGTATAAATGTACCACAGTTTCTTTATCCAGTCGTCTATTTATGGGCGGTTCAGTTGTTTCCAAGTCTAGGCTATTGTGCTGCAATAAATATAGGGGTTTCGAATTAGCGTCTTGGGTTTCTCTGGATAGATACCCAAGAGTGAAATTGCTGGGTCATACGGTAGTTCCATCTCCAGTTTTTTGAGATACCTCCATACTGACTTCCATAATGGCTGCACCAGTCTGCAGTCCCATGAACAGTGCACCAGAGTTCCCTTTTCTCCACATCCTCGCCAGCACTTGTTGTTTGTTGATTTATTGATGATAGCCATTCTGACCAGAGGAGGTGGTATCTCAATGTGGTTTTTATTTGCATTTCTCTTATGCTTAGTGAGGTTGAACATTTTTTCATATGCCTGTTGGCCACCTGTATGTCATCTTTGGAGAAATGTCTCTTCATATCCTCTGCCCATTTTTTAATTGGGTTGTTTGTTTATTTGGTGTTGAGTTGAATGAGTGTTTTATAAATTTTGGATATTAACCCCTTATCAGATATATCATTGGAAAATATCATCTGCCATTCAGTAGGCTGCCTTTTTGTTTTATTGATGATTTCCTTTGCTGTGAAAAAACTTTTAAGTTTGATGTAATCCCATATGTTTATTTTTTCTTTTATTTCCCTTGCCTGAGGGAATATATCCGTAAAAATATGATTAAGGGTAATGTCTGCAAATTTACTTCCTATGTTTTCTTCTAGGAGTTTTATGGTTTCAGGTCTTACATTTAAGTCTTTAATCCACTTTGAATTTGTTCTCGTATATGGTGTAAGTAGGTGGTCCATTTAATTTTTTTGCACATGTCAGTCCAGTTTTCCC